TTACAGCTATCTTGAAACTGAAGAGGCATAGAACTACATAGGAGTCTGTACACTGCATGCTCTCCTCCATGGCCTCTTCTACTGTCTGGGTGAGTAAGCCTGCAGCACAATGCCCATGAGAGTAGATGCCTTCTGACCTACTCTGCCCAGTACTGTGTTAGTGTCTTGGCCTTGAAAGAAAACCCTGACTTCCCGCTGAAACACATGGTAGGGGCATGGCAGCTATGAGGTATCTCCTACATCTGCTTTCTGGCTGTGGTGACTTGGGATTTTTACCCTTATATATCTTTTTCCTTTATTCAAAACAAAACAATTTTTAGCACACTGGGAAAAAAAAAAAGCCAAATGTTTTGTGCCTTTCTAAGGCAGCACTGTATCCCAAGCTGTACCTTAGGACTTAATATGGAAATACCAGAGTCTGAGCTCCTCTACCTTGAGTATCATTAGTCCCTAGAGTTGGGACAGGAAGGAGTGCTCTCTGTGGCTACAGAGGCCGCACACAGGTGCAGTGTGTCAGCGGTCCTTTTCCCTGCCGTGATGTGTCATTGGAAGAAAGCATTGTACCCTGGAATCATTTGGTTGATTCCAGTCAGAAGCTTAGTTATCTGGTCGAATGCTTTATCTCTTCCAAGGAGAGACAGAATGTTCCACAATTTCCAGGTATTCTCTGGACCATTCCAAGTGTCGCAGCCTCCTGACCATATTAATGACCCAGCTGTGTGGAGAAGCATAGGATGGACTCTTTTGAAAAGGGAAGGTCGTTTGTTTTTTGTCTTTTCAGTTTGCTGGATCCTGAACCAGCCTAGACCCCCTGCCTCTCCCTTCAGACTTGGCTTGCCTTTCATGTGAAGGCTTCAGACTAAAGCATTAAGTAGCTAGTGCCCTTTGCAGGGTCTAGTTTTCCCCAGGGAAGGGCAGCAAGGAACACATACCAGAAGCCTGTCCTCAGTATTGTGCCCCCATAGCAGTTTCAGCTAAGAAAAGAAAAGAAAAATGTTTTCATTCTAATGACATTTTACTCGTCTCTTACCCTTTCCTCAGTTCTTCCCTGCCTTTAATGAATAAAGAATCAGGAGATAGAAATTACTCTTTTAAAGTCCTCCTTAATCAAGATTTTGAAATTCTTGGCCTGGGTGGGGCTGGAGAAAACTTTCCCCTGATTGAAGAGTCCCAGTTTGTATATCAGTGTTAAGAAGAAAACAAAACAAACACTTAGATGAGATTTTCATGGACTAATTTAAAAATATGTCATTAATATAAAAAAATTTATATAGCAGTATTTAATCATTCTCACCTGTAAAAAGTAAGAAAAACAGAAGGTAAATATTCTTACAGAGAATAGCAGAGCTTTAAGATTCATTTTCATTTTAAGTCCATTTTGTTTTGCCAGTTTATTAATGTTTAGAGGTCTGTTATACTAATGTTATTTATTAATTTTTTTCATTTCCATACACATTTAACTAAAGAGCTTTTTCAAGCACCCATGTCTGTAAAAAAGTATTTTTAAATAAAGTTTCTTTTGTTGTAAAAAAAATAAATAAATAAAATAAAAAAATAAAACCTAGAAAGACTGAAAGCCCCCTGGTCTCCCAAGCTGGGGATGGGGGGGGGGAGGACATAGACCTCAGACATGCCCTACCAGCTCACCCAGCCCAGCAACGACCACCAGGCCACTGCCAGAAGAATCCTGAGCTCCTGAGCTGTGGCGGTGGGGGACCGAGGGACTTGGCCATGCCCCCCCCAACCAGCCCAGAGATGAACACTGAGCCATGGCTGGAAGCCCCCTTGTCTCATAAGCCAGGGCAGTTGGGGGCCAAGGGCTTCAGCCACACCCCCCTGACATCTGCATCCAGCCCAGCAATGACCAAGCCACTGCTGGAAGCCCCCTGGTCTCCCATGACGGGGGTGCTACGGGCCTCAACCATGTCCTCTCTCCTTCCTCCTTCTGCCACCCTATTTCCTTCCCCTTACCTCCTGTCCATCCCCTGCAACTACTCCGCAACATCTTAGAATATTAATAAATAATATTAGTAAACAAATAAACTTAAAAAAAAATCACTACATTATTCCTGTGTGTGCTCCTTCACTTTTATAGTTTCTGTTTATCTTACTTTATTTCTCCTCTAGTTTTCCAGTAAGGTATTTTTTTAAAAAATAAATTCAAACTTTGCTTAAATAAACTAAGAAGCAAAAGAATTTGTCCACCTTATGTCAAATTAGCTAAGAATATCAGAATATCATTTTAGAAGCTGGGCATAAATGGAGGCAATAATGGCTGCAGCTCGACACCCGGAAAAGAGCCTCTGCAGCTGAATGGACAGAAGAAAACTCAGACATCTCTGGACAATTATGACAGATGATCCTTTCTCACCAGGGTTTTTCTCAAACTAGCAGAGACAAGTGCTATCAAATTCCGAAGGAGATGAACAAATCATGAAAAATGAGGAAAAGCTATGTAGGAGAGGTAGCATATGAGCTATGCCTCTATGGATGTGTAGGATTTGAGTCAGAAAAAAAGAAAATTTGGGTGAGGGAAACCATGCAAGAGAATGCTTAGAGACAGGAATGAGCACTGTATATAACACACACACACACACACACACACACACACACACACACATGCCTCCCCCTGGCCCCCCAAAATATTAGTTGAATATGGCTGGGTGAAAAAAAAGCCCTGATTGCTAAATGTCGTTCCTTTTAAAGATATCCTACAATTAATGACCCAGATGACATGATCCTATATATCGAACAGCCCAAATCATCTACAAAAAAACTCTTAGAGG